TGTAGCTTGGAGGTTACTCCGTACGGCTATCAGCACACCTCCTCCTGTGCTAAGCCCAGTTTTGTTAACGTCCCTGTCCTTGCGGAATACGGTGAAGAGCTTCATATCAAAAAATTCAGCGTCGAAAAAATTTGTGTTAAGCCTGGACTCAGTGATGACAAAAACATCATATTCCAAAAGAGAACTAAACATTCGAACAGCATCAGATTTGCCTCTAAGCCCAGATGCGTTTTGATAATAGATCTTAATATTGTTAGATGGAAGCATAGGCGATGAGCCAACTAAGCTTGCCGCGTTTGTTTCCCGTCTTTTTGAAAAAAACGGAGCGGACAGATGGTCACCTTAGCCGGCCATAACTCAGGCTTCAGCACTTTCTTGTAGTCATCACCACTAACACCAAGCTTAAAGTTGACATAATTCAACGAATCCATATCGGCACCCTTCTTTACTAATTTATAGCACGCTACTAATTTCTCGGTTATGTTTGCGTGTTTCACAACATAATCAATAATGTTAGCAGCAGAGACTGTATTCCGAAAGAAGGACACATGCAGCCACTTAAAGCGGCGTCTTACAGGTGCTAAATCAGCAACGTCAAGTTCACCACAATCACTAGTTCCAACAACAATAGTCTGATCAACATGAGTCTGATTATGACGCTGTCTATCACGTTTACTCTCACGTTTTCCAGCCAGATTTATCGGCAGCAACAGCAGTATCTACAGCATCTAAACCCCACAGATTCTGTTAGTTGGGTTATATTCAACTTCAAACTGCTCAATTTCCCTCGGTAAATGCTGTTTTTCGCCCATTTTCAAACGGTTCCCCAGGGGTCTGAGGGAGGCCCGAAGAGGGGTCCGACTTTTCGTAAAGTGGGGACTGTCCCCCTACCCCAAAAACGACCTGCAAATAACTAACCATTTCGCGTTTTTTTTCAAATTTCGGAGCTGAGCTGTCAAGCCTAAAAAATATCCACGAGATATCTCTGCAAAAGATGTTTTGCCTCTTTTCCTTTGGAAAAAAATCCAAATTTCACCAAGGGGTGTGTGGGAGGGTGGGGTGACTTTTCTTAAAGAGTCGTCCATCCTTTTTCCGCCCTCATTCAAAAATCGTTGTACAAATAACTAAACATTTCCCATTATTTGCACCATAAAAATCAGTAGAAGGGGGCCACGCCCTTTTTAATTTTTTTCTTATCACTTGCCGCTAACCTGCACTTATGCCAACTGGAATTAGGGGTCAAGTGTTCGGCTTATTTGGCAAATCCACTCTAAATTCTTTAATTATGCAGAAGCTTAGGTAATTTCGCACACAGGCTGATTATCTACAAATAAAATAATTGTAGTCACTTGCTTCACTAGAATTCCATGAGGTGTCAGCCTTCAAGTCAAACATGTTGTGCTTGCCGTACTGTTTCACATCTTTGCCTTGCACTGAGCTGACACTTAATAAAAAAAAAGTTTATTATTTAAAACCATATTTAATATTGTGTAAAAACCTGCATCCGAAATTCACATGGCGCAACAAGTTCATCGCAAATGTAAACAAAAGCACTAGATATGATATTTATTAATCGTTGCAAGCAAAAAACCGACGAATTGTTATACGAAAAAGGCAAAAGTTTTTGTCTCGATAAATTTATCGGAATATCTTAAAGGTACGTTTACATATAAATATAATCCCAATCAATGCTCGTTTGTTAATCACCGTCAAGGCGAATATATACAAGATGGTGTTACTCTTCTGATTTGTTTTTTGGGTAAATTTTAGTGAAAATCGTCAGGAAAAACCAAAAAAAAGGGTAATTCTCTAGCATAGGGTAACAACCCCTTAAAAAGGTCCGGAAAAATCGGGAGGGGTACCAAACGACGCGTTTCGGCCGCCCCATTAACAATCTGGAGGGAGTGCGCTAATATTATGGTAAAAGTGCACTTTAGCGAAATTAGGCCAAAACTGATGAAAAAAATTCAAGAGGGGTATCAATCGACGCGTTTTAATGCGAACAACAATAATACGAGACCGGAAATTCGCATTTTTAATTCATTAAAGAGTTATTCGCAAAAAACACTTGCACTTTTTGCACTATGTTTTGATGAATTTGACGCAAATAAATGGAGTAAATGAACTCAACTGAACACATATTCATTAGTTTTTATACATTTGTGATGTGTTAAGTGTACACTTTCGCGAAATTCTGTATTTGATAGCAATATTCCGATGGTGAAAATCCGCACAACAATCGTGCGTAGTTAATCAGCCTTATCATGAGTTTCATTTTCCCCGAACCGGTTCACTTTTCACTGTGGATTTCCATGGTTATAGTCCCCTTTCAGACACGTCAAGTCATGAAAGCAATTTTTATCGCATTCTCTTTTGTGTTTTCTCTTTGCTTCCACACGCATCAAATTTTATTGAATTCAACTACTTGGTTCTTTAAACGGGAAGCAACGAAAAGATCAAAAGCGAACAAGAAAACTTGAAACGAATTGACGGTACGGAGGTATCTGTACTCTTCCCACCTCCTTCACCAACGAACGAGCAGACTTGAAAGCAAGACTTGACGTGTCTGAAAGGGGACTTACTATGGGCGGATGAAAAATTTTCGGGTGAATTTTTTTTCAGGCGAAACTCAGGATAAGGCAGAAGGTAAATAACATGGAGGAAAACTAGTGTTGCCACTCTATTAAAAATAAAATTGAACTAAATTGCTGCTGCCACTCTATTAAAAAAGTGTTTGTGCTCCTTTTTGCGTAGGCGGCCTTCGGTCGCGCTTAGGGATTATAACCCTCACAACGTAGAATTCTCCTTTCTGTGTTGTCAAAGAAAAGGGGCAGAACACTTTTTGCAGAGAACACCTTTCTGCGTAGGCGGCCTTCGGCGCGCTTAGAGATTATAACCCTCCCTACGTAGATTTCTCCTTTCTGCGTGCGAAGAAAAGGAACAGAAATCCCCTTTTCACAAAAGTATATTTCTTGTGCATTATTTGGGTGTTTTTAAAGTTGAAATACAAATTGTATTAATAGAGTGGCAGCACCAGTTTTCCCTTCATCTTATTTATATTAACTACACAAGATTCCCTGCAAAAATCGCGACTACTCCATGCATGCATGTAAAGAGTACTCCCGAAGGACCAAGGAGTACTCCAAAATTAACCACAATTCATATAAAAAATATTGTCCAATTAACATTGCGATGTCCTAGGGCAGGACCATATACTCCATCTGTGCATTACATCAGAGTAGCACAAAACTACTCCCAACATACTCCAATGACATTATCGTTATATTTTTTCGTTTGTACACGCTTTTGTTCTTCACTTCGCAGATGCTTTTTTTGAAATTAATAAAAACCAGAAACAAAAATTAAAAATTACAGGTTGCCTCTGACGACATTCGAACCCGAATATGCTGGGAGCTAAGAACTAACAGCTAGCATCTCTACACGTTCAGCTACAGCCAGACATGCAAATGTACTTTCAAATGCTTAACTTCAATCACATGTCGTTAAAACACGAGCAGTGATCGGGTAACAATAAGCTGGTGCAGAGACACGAGTTGGTCCGCTACAGCATGACAGAGGAGCACTTTTGTAAGTACTCCAATATACCACAAATAGACTACATGGTCCAACGATTTTTGCAGGGAAGTAAACGACAAAAATTGTCGAAAACTATGCAGTGCTGCCAAGTTCCTCCGTTTTAATACACTAGTCGAGTGGAAATTTTAGGCAATGACGCTAAAAGCTCAGTTAGTCTAGACTTAACTTAATTTAACTTACCGTAAGAAATCATCAATGATTACTCAACACGTGAACTTAAGCCAAGAGCGGAAATATTTTGTTTTTGTATTTTCTTTTTCAGCTGTTTAACAGTTCGCCGCCTTAAATGCCATATCAAAAAAATGCATGCAAACAAAAATGTTTGCTTTCATTTATTTTTAAGAAATACAAAAACGAGAGACTGGCAAGCCTGATTCTCTCACCGCTCTCAATTTCCGTAAGACCGTAACTTAAGAACCTAAAATCTACAGGTTCTCAAGTTTCTTACGGTAAGTTAAGTTATAACTAACCGCCAACACAGTTTCTCATATAACAGGTTGGCCAAAATATCGAGTTAAGTTACGTTACGGAAATTAAGTCTAGACTAACTGAGCTTTAAATTTTCGATACGATTCGACTCTCGAAAAACGACTTGCATTCGGCACGACTCTCGCAATGAGGCTGAATAAAAAAAAAAACGGCAAAAACCGACAGCAAAAAAAATATATTGAAAATCAATGCGGTTTTTGGTAATTATCTGGTTGTGCTTTCAATCCCAAAAATTTTTTATAAAAACTTTTGATCGGGTAAAAAAAGTTAATTTCCGCTTTCGGATTCTTGTTATTGGGGTCCAGACGCGTCTAATGGTACCCTCTCTCCAAAATTTTGACTAATTTTGGGAGTTGAAAGCCCACCTAGATAATTACCCGATTTTTTAGCCGCTCAAATCTTGCATATACTTTATCAAAATTTTAAGTTTGTTAACTGCATACCGAAAATATTTCTAAAAATTCAGCGTTTTTCATTAATTTTACCTCTTTATGTCCTCCTAACAGACTGTAATTCACGTATGTCTAGCATTTGTATTTTGGCTCCATTTGAAGTTTTTCTTCATGCCTGCATAGCGAAAACTTATTTATGAATTTTTTGCAGATAGAAATGCGCCCACGTCGCCCATTCTTGCTTTGTTATATTCGACATGTCCTTTAAATTCTTAAAAACGACTTAAGTACAATTTTAAAAAACATAGATATACACAAGGGAGCAAAGGGTACTTGGGCCTGTTCAACGGAATCATTTTTTGTGTAGTTTCACAAAAAGTGCAATAAGAACCAAGGTAATAAAGGTTTTTCTTTCACTTATTTTCGAAATTGATCCTTCTTAAAATGAAGTTTCTCCGTCGCCTACAAGTGCAGCTTAAGGCTGTGATCTTGTTTGTTTAAAAAAATATTTAGAAACAGATATCCAAAACTTTATCTCATTAAAATTTTATCTAATTAAAGGTAGCATAATACATATATTCATAATCTATCATCAAATCAGCACAAAATATACGGATCGACATTAAAAATGTTACATATATCAAAGCTTTTCTCTGCTCCTAGCGGGTATTGCAAATTAGAGAGGCTTGATGTCGCTTTTGCTTTTTATTTTTCCTTATGGGTGTTTGATCACCTATTTCAAATGACTGTTTTACCAACTTAATGCTGGCCTCCACTCCTAAGCTGGAACTCATTACACTATCAATCGGTACAGAATCCTCTATTTGCTTATTTAGATTTGTAGAATAAACTTCGATTCCAGTTTCTCTTTGGTAGTAATCGGAATTGCAATTAGTTGGGGAAGCAAAGTTAGAAGTAGAAAAACTGCTGCTTTCGTCATCAATGAGCTCATAAGTACTTTGACGCAGAAATGTATAATAATCTGCCTCTGTAGTTGACAAAGCAGCAAACGTTGCGGAACTAATCGATGATGATGATAAATTGCTGGTAAAATAAGAGTCCAAAATTTCTGAGGCTGAATTTTGACCCGGTCAGAACTTCAAATCCTTGATTGCCTGAGGTAAATCGGGGAGCTTAATATCTTTAATTTGTTGTGGAATGTTCATACTTTTGACTGCGCTTACAGCTCGGGCAGGAGCTGCCGAAATACCAGCCTAAAAATTAAATTATTTGAACTTGTTTTGTTTTTATAAATTCGTCTTACTTCTTGCTTGACTAGTTTATTCTGTTCTTCTATTCGTGCTAATATGTCGGTCATATTTGTTTGAAGAACCATTCCGCCCATAACGAGTTCAGCTAAAATATGATGCACTGCGTCGGCATGGAAAATCAAATCTAATTCACAAACATTTTCAAAACATTTGTCCAGAGTTTCTACAAAAACTTGGATTAAATCCAAAATTCCCAATTCACTTTCAGACGAGTCCACACAAAACACAAAATAAAGAGTAGCATAATGGCGATATATCAATTTGTAGTCAGAACCACCAATGAGACTAAAAGATAATTACACATAAGAGAGTCATCTGCATTAATTGTTATTCGTACTCACCTTCCACCTTCCAAAAAATTACAGACGTTATCCTCTCGTTTCGACACAAGCTGAAACGTTTCTTTAATTATTTGTTGCTGCATATCTTCATTCTAGAATTGGTTGTAGAAGTATTAGACTCCAAATTGGTGATACATACATGTGTATACACATAAAAGTTGTTTACTTACAAAGTATTGGTAGAATTTCGAAAGCCTCGGCTTCCCATGGTTGTTGAAAACCAAAATCGCCTTTATCATTTTTTTCTGTACGTCCACAGACCGTAAAGAAACCTGTATTTTTAATAGATTTATTTAAGGTATTACTTCAATTGATACAGTTCATACACAAAAACCCGAGCACCCTTTAAAAAAAATTAGTAATAGACACCGATTAGAGCTGGAAAACTACCGATGGCACTATCGATAGTTTTCACTCAATCATACATCACGGAGCAGCGAACAAAGGTGGCGCCGTCAGTGGTACCGCTACTTTGGTTTCGCCGATTTTGACATTTGTGGTAACTTGTAAATAAACTTTTGTTACAAATCAGCGAAAGAGAAATTTGAATTATAAGTGAAAAATCAGTTTAACTCGTCTTAATTTGCAATTTGTGAGTGATTTTTGAGTCGAAGACGCGTAAAAACCAATAACAATGAAGTGCTGTGTGTTAAATTGCGACAGTCGTCAAAATGCAAGAAGCGTAGATGCAAGTGGAGCGCTGGGACGAATCGCTGCATTTTGTGTACATAGGGTACGGCAAAGCCGTTCCCGAAATGTTTCTCTATTATTATATTAACAGCATTTCCTCACAATGATTTTGTTTTTGCTCCACGCATCCTCCATTAGCAAGTTGAGTTTAAGTAAATTGATAAGAAAAAATCAATTTTGCAATATAGGCGTCAAAGGAAAGAGGCTGAAGAAGGCTTACAGCCAAAGATATTTTTTTTAGAGTTACCACCTGTTTGAAAATTTACATTTAATTAAATTTATAAGATAAATTGAATGTTGCAATATGGGTATCAAACTTAAGGGGTTTAGGAAATTGTATTGCCGAAAATATTTTTAGGGAGGGCTGCCACCTGTTTGAAAATTTTTGTTGTATTAAATTGATAAAATAAATGAAATCTATATCTACATCTATACATACATATAATAAAATTGTAACAGGTCGATGTCTGTACCTTATAGATATTAAAGAAAAATTAATATGGTGGGTTTTTATTTAAGCTATAGAAGCCAAATAAATAATTTTTAGAATTTTTGAATCTCTGTCTGTATATTTGTACGCGCATCAGGTGAAAACATGGATTTGAATGCAGTTTTCACCGATGTATCGCTAGAGATCTAGCTTCCAATATAGAAGAAAAAATTAGAGAGTTGACACCTGTGTTTAAAATTTCAATTTAGGTCAATTGATACGGTAAGGTGAATACTGCAATATGGCTGTCAAAAGAAAGAAATTTACAAAGGCTTACAGCTGAAAATATTTTTGAGGAAGGTTGCCACCTATTTGAAAACTTTAATTTAATTTAATTGATAGCATAAATTAAATATTGCAATATTGGCATCAAACTAAAGAGGCTAGGAAATTTTAATGCTGAAAATATTTTTAGGGGATTTGCCAACTGATTGAAAAATTTTATTCATTAAAATTTGTAAAATAAATGAAATATTGCAATACGAATATTAAACTAAAGAGGATTAGGAAGCTTACTTTTGAAAATATTCTTGAAGCGGGTTGCCACTTATTTGAAAACTTTAATTCAGTTAAATTTATAATATAAACTAAGTGTTGCCATATGGGTATCAAACGAGAGTATTTGAGAATAATAAAATTGCAAAAGACCGATATCTGTACATAATAGATGGGTTTATTAGATCAACAGAAGCCAAATATAAAATGTTGGTATGTTTGTCTGTATGTTTGTAAGCGCATCACGCAAAAGCTAATGTATGGAGTTAAATGCAGTTTTCACCGATGTACATATTGCTAGAGCTCTAATTGAAAATATAGAATAAATTTTTTTTGTTTTAGTTTATCGTCGATCATTATTCCTAGGTATTTGAACGCATTAACTTTTTCCAGTGCGTCGTTGTTTATATTTAGAGTTAGCAACGGACCGTTCTCAAAATTTCGCCTTGATATAACCACAAACTTAATTTTTTTTATTTCTGTGTGGAAAACTTTTCGTTGTTGCTGCCAAAAAATTAAGAAATCTGAGACGTCACGTTTTACAATTTCATACAGTTCTCTTTACAATGCATATCACTAAACTACTAAACGGCTGCATCGACTTGGTTCATATTTGGCAACACCTTGACAATAAATATTCTGACCAAAAATGTACTCGGTATGTAGCTCGGGTTATTCCTAAAATTCTTATACAGACTAAAACGTAAAAAACCAATATATCTCTAAAACCAATTACGCTGGGGAACTGAAACTTAGCACTGATGCATATATTACAAATGCATTGGGAAAGGGGCGTGGCTCCTTCCTTCCATACAAACTGAACTTCTCATATAGCTTATCTCTAGAACTGCTTACGCTAACGTCCTGAAATTCTACACAGCTACATATGATATCAATACCGTAGTTATGGCGAAAGGTGGTATTTATTGGAAAGGCTGGCTCGATATACATTTACGTAAACGCGCAAGTATCATTCGATTGGGACCCATTTTCTCCTAGATTTCTAAATCCCATTGAACTATTGTAACTTTGTCTTTAATTTTCAGTAAGGTAAAATTTATGTGAAAATTTTTTTAATTTTTTTTAAATTTTTCACAAAGAATGGAGCTTTGCTTTTACGAGTTTCGCTATAAACTGTCCTATCTACATACCTATTTGCATAAAATGATAGCCCATTTTCGTTGTTCGGAATAAACTAAAAAAACACTGAATAGCGTTCCGTTAGATTGTCGGAGGTTATCTTACATACATATATATGGTGCAATTACATGCTACTAGAAAACTCGCTAGGTGGTGCTGGAGTAGTTATTTATTAAAATCTTTCGATTTCGTTCAAATTTTAAATGTGAGCTATGTACCTGTATGATGGAAAATTCTTTTGATTAAAATTTACCTGATTAGTGCCGCTGGAGTTAAGGTTGAAATTCATAACACGTATTCATTTTATGGTAAGCAATGGTTTTGCATAAAATGAACCCAATGGATGGCGCTGCAGACGAAATGTATAGAAACCCCGTGTGGTTGGTCTGCTTTGGCACTATGTATAAGTTACACGAATTTAGTTTTCAGATGTCTAAATGAAGGATGGGGTTAAGTTTTTCTGACGCCCTCATGCACGATCATGTGGTCTTGCATCTACCCAGAAATCAGTTCATAAATTTTACCACGAATTGTAAAAGTGGAGAATTAATTAATTAGGTTAATTAGGTGTGAATTTCACCGTAGGTATATCAATTGCTTCATTTGAAAGATACTTAAGAGATCACACGATTCATTTTCTATTCATGCAAAATAAGAACGCGAAGCAATGTAAGGAAAATATGTTATATATTTACGTAATGTTTAGCATTTTCTTTAAAGTAGAACGTATCTAACACTTAATTTTTTAAAAAGCAAACCTTTTCTACTTTATATAAATTTCATTCTACATATATTTTTTAACAACTTAAGTAAAGTTCCCCAGCGTAATTGGTTCTGCAGCCGCTAATTTGTACAGCCATACATCAAAAATTAACGAAATTACTTTATTGACGCATTACTATGAAAGAGTTAATTTTTAACAATGAGATTTGGCTAACTTTAAATTTTTTTGCTGAAACCGGTGGTGAACACTGTGAACACTAAAAAAACGGCCCCAAGAGGGGCATAACATGAATGAAAAAAACGGAATAGATTTGAAGTCAAGCGGAAAGAGGAGTGGATTTCAATTTTTTTCAAAAACCGTAGAGAACGAATTCGTTACATTTTAACGCTAATGACCCACATGGCGGGAAAACACAGGGTTGTATCAGACTTTCGACGTGGTTTCGAGTTGGTTAGCTTTTAACCATCTCAGTTAAGTGGCTTCATTTCTATATGGCGAAACTACGCTAAATCAAGTGGGTTATCGCGATAACCAACTCAATAGCCATAACTACGTGGTTAGCTCCGGTGGGGACATGGTATAAGGTGTTGTCAGTAGCGACTTGTTTGTTGTAATTTTGACAAAATCGGTACGCTTATTTTCAATGATGCCTACTCACATATTTATACCACAAAACTTAAGAAAAATAGTACTAGAACTACTCCTTTTCATGATATCGCTCCAAAAGAAAGCGTTTGCTTCACTATCTTCATTATGCATTTTTGTTTGCAAATTAGACTGAAAATCTGAAACTCTGAGTTATAAATTATAAAATTGCGGTGTTTTAATGAAATAAATCGTTTTACGTTTAGTAAGCAGTTTAAAAAACTACATAGTTAAGTTTAGTAATGCTAATATTAGCTGTTGTGCAAGTAAAGTTTACGCCTCGACTAAAGTTTGGTATACAGAATTGGCTAGTTAAAAATTTGCAAAATAAAAAAGCTTTCGACCACTGCATTTGATCCAGTGAAACGTATTTTTAAGCAATTGGATACAATGCCTTTTAGTGTCCAGTGCATTTGCATAACAACCCACCACATTTAACTTTTTTTTTGGTACCTTAACCAGCCAGGTATACATAATTTTTATTTGCAAGTAAGGAAAACCAAATGTCTTCTTTTTCAGTATTTTTGTTGCACGGTCAATCGCTTTTCTGCCTCCAAGATTGACCGCCACATTGACCGGTGCAAATTTTATGGAGAAAATGTTGCGGTCATCGTCCCCCTTGCAATTGCCGGAAAGAGTTAAAAAACTTTTATTCAAATGCCGAATGCATTTCCGCATTAAGGATTTAAATAAATCCTCAAATAACTGAGGTGTGTGTAACCAACCACATTTAGAACCCTTAATTATAAAATATTACTTTAAATTAGATCTACTCAAAACGATGGATCATTTTTATTTCGTTTAGCTAAATTCCTTTTTCAAGCTTTTATTTAACTTGCTTATCCCGCGGAAATTTCTAATCGATTTTATTTTTGCCTTGTAAGAAACAAGAATCTCCAAAAAAATCCGCATTGAGTTAGTTCTAGAAATTAATAAAGGTACAAAAATACTTTAAACTTCCATATTATTGTAAAAATGGTACGAAAAACGGAGTAAAACGGGCCCAAATTTTTCCCCATTTTCTACTACTTTAAGATGCGTTGCCGGAACATGCGTACCGAAAAAGTGAAGTTAAGTTACTAACCACACCTTGTATTATTACACCATGGAGTGAACATACTGTAAGGCAAATGCGCCCATGTGTGTGCAAGAAATGGATGCACTATCACACGCCCGGAGAAGTGGTCACTTTTTTCCCCAAGCCCATACAAA